CGGCTTTCCCGCCCCCTTCCCGCCGCACCTGCAGATGGGTTGGCTGTGAGTCGTCCTTCATCTTCTGGTGCAACTTTTACTCTTGGCTAAGCCCTTCTGCTTTCCACGCGAGATGAGGGACCGTGGAATTGATGCCCCTAGCCGGTTTTGTACATCTGGGTCCTGGGGAGGGGTCGGAAGGGGTAATGCAGTCAGTGGTCTAACTTTCTGAGGGTCACAGTCCTCACGTGGGAAAGCTATGGAGGCTCAGCCTGGAAGACTGCGCTTCAGAACTTTAAAATTGCAGAAGTTCTCAGATTCCCGGAGGTTATCCTTGGGCTCCTGGTGTGTAAGGTTTGACCTTTTTTTTAAAATTTAATTTAATTTTTTCCATCGCCTTTTGTGCCCTCTCCCACCACCACCCGCCCCCTTCCACCCCTGCAGTCACCACACTGTTGGCCAATTTGCGAGTTCTCTTTTTCTTTTTTGCTCAGGCCCTCTCCCCCATCCCTCCTCGCCCCCCGAGCTGCCTTCCTGCTCTCTATCTATGAGTCTGTCTGCATTTTGCTTGGTAGTTCAGTTTGTTCATTAAATTCCACATAGGACTGAAAGCCTGCGGTGCTCCTCTTTCTCTGACTGGCTTAACCCCATTAAGTGTGCTAGAAGCGTGATTAAAATCAAGTGTTGTAACATAAATGTGTCAAAGCTCAAAATCTTAAGCTAGCAGAGTTTTCAACAGACACTGTGATTTGAAACCTTTTTCTTTTGAATACATTGTGCTGGAAACTTATTTTATTAAGGACTTTCCGGAACACACCCTCACCGCGGNGCAGAGTTTTCAACAGACACTGTGATTTGAAACCTTTTTCTTTTGAATACATTGTGCTGGAAACTTATTTTATTAAGGACTTTCCGGAACACACCCTCACCACCCTGCTTTCCCCCCGCTTGGAATGCAGTGAAAAGACAAAACATTTTTGTTTGTGTGTTTTAGGGGTAGAGTTGGTTTTGGCCTGAACCGAAGTTATTATTAGGCCTTGTGGGCACGCACACAGGCAGGGCTGAGTCCATTTCGTACAATAAAAAATGTGTTTGCTTGTTTGTTTATTTAATCTCTTGACTTGTCTTTACTAATTGGTTTCTGTAACCCAGAATCAGGAACCCTCCAGAGTGTGGCACAATGGAGTTGCATTCTGGGCTGTCTGGTCTTCAGCATTTACCCGTTTGAATAGAATCTCTAGCCTCTGTATGAGGATCGAGAGGATTTGGGAGTGGAGTGGGCAGAGGAAACTCTGAAGGGATGAATTCATGGGAGACAAGACGAAAAGATGGAACTGTCCTGAAATAATAAAAGGCAACCTTTTTAAAAAATATTTTGTATTTTTTAATTAACATTTTATTTTTCAATTATAGTCTACATTCAGTATTGTGTTAGTTTCAGGTGTACAGCATAGTGGTTAGACAGTCATATATTTCATCAAGTGTTCCCTCCAAAAAGGCAGCTCTTTTTAATCTGAGGAGTAAAACAACTTGTTTTGGGGGGTGGGGGAAATTGTAGAGGAGAAGTTGTTCTGTGCTACGTGTTAATCATCGCTCATTTGGTGGCTTCCAGGGATTATCTTGAACACATAACATCCTTTGGCCCCAGGACTACAGGAAGTCCAGAAAATGAAATTCTGACTGTGCATTACCTTTTGGATCAGATTAAACTGATTGAAGTTCAAAGCAACAGCCTTCACAAGATTTCAGTAGATGTACAGCGGCCCACAGGCTCCTTTAGCATTGACTTTTTGGGAGGTTTTACAAGCTACTATGACAACATCACCAACGTTGTGGTAAAGCTGGAACCCAGAGATGGAGCCCAGCATGCTGTTCTGGCTAACTGTCATTTTGACTCAGTGGCAAACTCACCAGGTATGTACCTGTTTTTTAGTCATCTTGAAGTCATCACAGCCTAGAAAGCTTATTAATGCCAAGCTGCTTGGTTAGTTGTGGGACACCGTTTTCTTGGACAAACCTCTTTAGTGATGGCAGGCAGCATAGTTAGAATAGTATCATTTAGTTTAAGTCTAACCCCTTGCCATTCTCTCAAGTGCTTTATTTTATTTTTTTAAACATTAGTGCCAGCAGCCCAGTGACAAGACATGGAATATTGCTGGTAGACTGAAGCAGCTTTATCAGCGTTACCAGTATGTGTCCCTGAGTCCTGGAGTTAGATTCTGCCTCTTCAAGTGTTTACTCAGCTAGGTATAATACTAGGCTTTGGGGATACGGGGTGAAGGAGCAGTCCTTGCCTTCACAGACGCGGGGTTTGGAGGACGTCTTTCTTAGTTTCTGTTTACCTGTAAAGTGAGAATTTTGGCCCGCTGGGCATGGCGTACTGTTAGAATACCTCATTACTCCATAAATCTTCCTTTGAAAATACTTTGTCAAAATACTTGATGTTTAGGACAGTGCCTGACACAATAAATACTTTGAATGATTGAGAATCCCCAAAATTGAACTTCCATTAAAAAAAAATAAGATTCATCAGAAAAATGTTTTTAGTAGTTATGAAAGAGATTCTAAGTAGGGAGGAATAGAAAATTGTAGCATTTTACAATGGAATCATAGCATGTTAGAGGTAGACAAGACCTGAGATAGCATCTGGTTCAAACCCCCTCATTTGACACAGGAATAAACTTAGCTGATCACCACTGATCAGAGACAGGTGGGACCAGTTGCTGGGTTTCCTGGCCAGTCAGTACTTTCAGCTCCATTTGAAAGGAAGGAGAATTAATGCTCCCTTTGGCAAGCTACTTAACCTCTTCTTTCCTCAGTTTCTGATCTGAAAATGGAGATAATAGTACTTTCCTATTGGCATTGCTTAGAGAATAGTGCCTGGCATGAGAAATGCCTTTTTATTTTTTGCTATTAATTGTTATTTAATGTTATTATTTCTGGATTGTTTGAACTATGGCAGTCCCAAAATGATAATCTAGAGTTACACAAAATATAACATTTATTTGCTTGATAAAATGATTCATTCTAGGACATCTTTAATTAGAAAGCTTGCCAGTTGCATTTAGAATGTAACATGCTTTTAAAAAATCATACACATATTTCCAAGAAGGTTACATGATAAAAAGCAACTAGATTTGGAAAAAGAACAACTTTTTGAGTTTTCAACAAAACAGTAGATTGAGCACATGGAGAACAGAATGATCTGGTGAAAAAGATGAGTTGTCAGTAGAGAGGTCAGCAGGACCAATGTGAATTATTTAGGGTAGGAGAGAGTTACATGCATTTGTAGCATGAGAAGAAAAGGACATCATTCCCTCACTTCCATTGTGTCATTGGGCACAATGCCCCAATGACATGTTTATTATTAAATTGTTTTGTTTCTATTAAATATTTTTTCAAGATGTTACAAAAAAGCAGTATATACCCATTTGTTTTAATAAAGTCAGAAATATCTTTGTGTGTGTTAGGGAAACCAGTGGTGTTTTATGCCTATTTCAAAGCAGTAATAAAATAAGTGTCACCCTGTGCCCACTGTTATGATGTTTAAATTCTAGGAAGGGACAGATCGACACCATGGTTATTTAAGAGCATTATATAAGAAAGATATGTATGTAAGTATCAGAAACATAGTGCCAAGTGTTATATATACAGAGTCCAATAATGAAACGGTGGCATTTTTTGGGTCATTGGAACTCATTTTAAATTAAAATTTTATAAGATCACCTGTACCAACATTCCCAAGGACATTTCTGTCAATATTACATTGCTAAAAATAGTTTAAAAGCACACTCATAAAATAGACGATCACCTACATCCTTTCAGTGGATGATCTAATTGAAACATGGGCATTTTTTAAAAGTTCTTCTCAGCAACATAGCTGGACCTTTGGGACTATTACCAATTAGGAGTAATGTTACCCATAGAAAGGACTTAAATGTCTTCTTGGGTTAGCTTCTTGGTTCCAGGTTGTCGGTAGAAGAGACATTGAGTTATTTTAGGAGTGGCTTCAATTTCAGGGTTAATTCTAAATAGAAAGAGATGTTGGTTAACCACTCAGCCCTTATATTGTTCTCTAACTTTCTTTCACTTTCTTTCCCTCTCTAGTTCTGTTCTCAGACAACAGAACCATTAAAATAAAGGAAGATCAATGGACAGTTTAACTTTTTAATCAACCCTGTATAGATATGTCTCTTTCCATTTCCCTTTCTCTTTGAATAAAGAAACAATTTATGGTTTGATTTTTATTTTAAAGTAACTCACAGTCTCAGAGTTAAAAACCATTAATTTCATTTGGTTCCTTGAAGGTGGCAGTTTTTACTGATAGCTACATAAACTTCTGGCTTCATAGTAGTTAGTAGTTATTACTTAGTTTCACTTTGATTAAAATACAATCCAGTATTCACTGCCAAGACAAGTAATAATAGGTAATAAGTAGTTTCTTCTTGAGTAGGTGTGGGGTCTGGAATTTAACAACACCACAGCAAGCATTTTAGCTAGCTACAGAGCTTTAAGTTTGCAAAGAAGAAAAAACTAACATTGAATGCAGACCATATTTTGTAATCCTCTCAACACACCTATGAGGTAGATATCATTAGCCTGCTCTCTAGACCAGGAAGTTGTAGGGTAAATGACAGAGCTAGAATTTACTTCCAAATTTTTCTTACTTTGAAATCCATGTTAAACTGCCGGCCGGAGTGGCTCAGTTGGTTGAATGTCCTGTAAACACCCACGGAAGGCAACCGATTGATGTTTCTATCATACATCGATGTTTCACTCCCCATGTCCTCGGGTTAGGATTAAAAAACAAACCCGTGCTAACCTCTGTAGCGCCCTGCCTCCCAGTGTATAAACCCGAAAATGCTATTGCTATTGTCTGGGTTATTACTGTGCCTATTTACTTTGATTCTCTTTAAACTTTTTATTATGGAAAATTTCAAATACGTACAAAAACAATCATTTAATGAACCTGAGTGTACATGTCATCCAGCTTCGACAGTCCAATCTTGTTTCTTTATCTCTACCTCTGAACCCTTAATTATTTTGAAACAGCTGTATCAGTTTCTCTATTTCAGTCTATATCCCTGAAAGACAAGAAGCCTTTTTTAACATGCTCATAATACTATGAATTACCTCATTTAAAAAGTAATAATTCCTTAATATCATCAAATATCTAATTTGTTCCCTTAGCTACCTCTTATAGTGCTTTAAAAAATCAAGGCATTAAAGCCATGTTTATAATCACCTTTAATATTTAAAGTTTCTGAATCAAGAAGTTTAAGCGATTTGATGAGGTCCTCTACTCTATCCGTGCTGGGATCAGGGATACTACTTAGGTCATTAGTCTCCTTTCCTGTCTTACTGGATCTGGTGTCTTCATCACATCACATCTCGGCAAAACCTTAAAAAAATGCTACACCATCCAAACGGACCTCTCTGTAAATGCCAAGTGACCTGAAGGTTTTATGATTTTGACAGGAAAACTAGCAGGAAAGGAGTGGGTAGGAGGGGAGATACCTAGGAAGCTGTGAACACCAGAAGTGAGAATATTATAGAGGACGTGGAACCAGGATAAAGAAGGGAGTAAATTGCCTTGGGCTGGTGAGAATGCCAGGTTTCATTTATTATTTATTTACTTATTTATTTATTTTTAATCCTCACCTGAGGACATGCTTTTATTGATTTTAGAGAGAGAGGGAGAGAAACATCAATATGAGAGAGAAATTGATCAGTTGCCTCCCTCCCTCATACACCCCAGCCTGAGATTGAACCCTCAACCTGGCTATGTGCCCTGACCAGGAATCAAACCTGTACGGGACAGCGGTCCGACCAACTGAGCCATACTGGCCCAGGCAGAGAATGTCAAATTTCAGTATTAATTTAGATCCCATCTGCATGATTATTCAACAGATAATACTTAAGTGACTACTCCGGGCTAGGCATGCTTCTAGACACTGAGGGTAAGTCAACAAGCAAACCAGACAGAGATTCCTGTTCTCGCGGAGTTTAAAGCTGGCGGGTGTAATGGTCGCCTGATGGCGACAGATGGAGCTGGTCTTCCGGTCTTATAGCCACGTGATGCTCCCTTGATGAGAAAACCCCATTCCTAGCCCTGATGGTTCATACTGTAAAGATGTTGAAGTCTGAGGAGCAAGCCTGTTCTTTTGATTTAAAGGTGCCAGTGATGATGCAGTCAGCTGCTCAGTGATGCTGGAGGTCCTTCACGCCTTGTCAACGTCCCCTGAAGCTTTGCATCATGCTGTCATCTTCCTTTTTAATGGTGCTGAGGAAAATGTTTTGCAGGTGAAATTTCATTGTTTTAAATACTAGGCCTCAATAAGAACTGATAATAATAATAACAACTTAGGCATTTTGATTATTCATTTGAGCAGTATCATAAAGCCATATACAAAAAATATTGCTCCTGGAGTACTGTAAAGATTCTACAGCCACTTACATACATATGTTCAACATTTGGGAACAACTTAGAACAGTGCATCTTGTCAGCGTTTGATTTATAGAAGGGCTCTGTGATGGTATAATCATTCACCTCAGGTTTTCTTTGACTCTGTAGAGTTTCAGAGATGTTTTGAGGCAGGCACGCAGCATGAACACCCAGCCATGTGGATCGTCCCTTCTGTTTTTTTGTCCTTTCTTTACGCAGCCTCACACTTACTGAGGATGTTGTCTGGCACCACTCATGGAAATCAGGCAATTTTCTGTGTTGGTGACTTTCCACTCAGCAAACTGCGCACAGTCATTGCACATAGAGAGAGAAACAGCTGCGTGTCTTTGGATAGTGCCTTTGAAAAAATGATTATTTGTCTGTTCTTCCCCTTGTCAACATAGACATTCTGTCTTTAAAATAAGCAAATAGAGACTTTGATAATCTCAGATTGTTTAACCTATATTTGTTTTCTTTCTCATTCAGGCCAGTCATGGTTTCATTACTCAGCACCCCTGGGCCAACTTGATTCGTGCATTTATTAACTTGGAGGCAGCAGGTGTAGGAGGGAAAGAACTTGTATTCCAAACAGGTATGTGTGGCTATACACTGTGGGGCAACGTAGGTTCATAGTTGTGAGTACATGAAACACAGACTTTTTTCTTATATTCTTATTTATTAATTATTGCGTTATTTCCATACAAACAACTGTATTGCCCCACCCTGTATTTTGTATTTGAGTGCAATTGCATTGTATACTTTAACGTAATTCTTGTTTTTATACAAGTGGACGGTTTTTGAAAATAAGTAATCTCTCTAATGAAATGAACGTTCTTTTTAAAGCATGAGGTAGTTTTAGCTTGTCTTGGTTAAAAATTTTAACCAAATAATATTAATAGCAACCTAATATTTGTATAGTGCTTATTATTCGCCAAAAGTTCAAAGCATTTTATATATATGTCACTTAATCCTCAAAACAGCATGAGGGGAAAGTACTGTCATTACCCTCATTTCATAGATGAGAAAACTGAGGCAAAAGAGATTATAACTCCCCTAAGTTTCACAGTTGGTCAATGACACAGCAGGATTTAAACCTAGTACAGGTTCAGAGTCCTTGTTCTTAACGATTAACCAGATTGTCATATAGGTAGGTGGTGAACTTGATTTTATGCATTATGGATAATTATGATGTAAATCATATTAAATGACAGTGATTTCATGGATTAAAATGAAAAAAATTACCTGTAGTTAAAGGACTTTAAATATATCATTAATTTAAATGTCATAAAAATCCAGTAATATTTAATCAGCCAGAGAAATATTTTTAGTTTTATGATTAAACTTTTCTAAGGAAAACAAGATTATAAGTTATAAGGATAACTTATCAATTAAGTATCAATTGTCATCATTCTTAGCAGAATTCAGAGCTCAGTTTTGTGACATTGGAAGTTCCATGCCATTCCCAATTCTGTTAGTAATTTGGGTAATTCATTTTAGCTAGGGATGTGGCATTTGCTAGAAGTTTTATAATGAGTGTGTTGGGGTGTGAGATGGGTTAGGAGAAGTAAGGCGATATAGGAACTTAATTTTTAGCACCCTTTACAGACATGTATTGTTTAAGTTATGAAGATACGCTAAGTATATTTTTCTAACCTAAACAATACCGTAATTTAATATTCTCCATACAACTTATTTTAAACTTTTGCCCTTCAAAATGTATATATATTTTACTTCAGCTAAACCTTTGAGAATCTCAAGGTTATGAGGTCAGAAGCAAGGTTCTGCTTTCTTTTCAACTCTCAGACTTTTCTGCTTACTATTCATCCAACTAATGAGAAGAAGCTTCTATCTAATATCTGTAGGAGTAAGTAGATGCTACACTGTTACCCATTCTCTCAAATTCTTGGATTCATTCAGTATAGAAGGAACACTTGATACAACAACCACTCGATCAAAAAGCAAAAAAAATTCTGTAAGCAAAGAGGACACTGCATCTTTCTTTCCTCTGGTGAAAATGTCAGGGCTCCACATGGGCAGGAGTGTGTCTTTGTATATTTTCCCTCTAAGAAGTGTATTATATGTTAAATACCTTCTTATTCATGCTTTTAATTTATCATCACAGTTCTCTGCCCCTTATATTCCTGTGACCCAAGGAAAATCTAGTCCTAAGGTTTAGTCTATACCTTTCCTGAATTTTTTCTGTGCCTTTATATTAATGCATACATTATATATGCATATATGTAGTCCAGAGAGATTCAAATGCATTTACCTAGGATTAGTGAGATCTAGACCCAAGTCATTTTCTTTGTTTACATTTATTGAGAACTCACTTTCACTAGGTCTAATTAGCTTGTAGCCTGTACTCTTATTACTAAATGTAGATAGTTTTATGTAAAAATTCTGCAGTTGTATACATTTTAGATATAATTGCATTATCTGGAAGGTTATAAACAACTGTATAAAAACAGGCACTGCCAGATGGTGAGTGTTGGCTGGTGGAGCTATGATGGGTGTGACTGGAGTGGAGGGTGGGGCAAAATGTAAAAAACTGATTCGGACTCTCCATTGCTTCATGAATTTAAAACCAGAGCTGTCATGGCTGCTTTACTTAGACTCTTCACAGTTTTCTGTATTGTTTAAAGTTTTGCGTTGCAATATGATTAATAATAAGACAATAACAGCCTTGTTACTAGTTAGCAATATATATACAACTTAAATGTTTTACTCATTTTAAAATAAAATGCCCACATTTCAAATTAATTTTTTTCTGGAGGAGCATCCTGCAAAAGATTTGGAGAGAATGTTTCCCTCTTTCTCTGAGTTTGTTTTTTTTTAAAAAAAACCTTTTTTTTAAAATTTTCACCTGAGGATATTTTTTCCATTGATTTTTTAGAGAGAGTGGAAGGGAGAGAGGAGGGGGGAGAGAGAGAAACATGGATGTGAGAGAGACACATCGATTGGTTGCCGCCTGCTCGTGCCCCAACCAGGGCAGGGGATCGAACCCTCAATCAAGGCATGTGCCCTTGACCGGGAATCAAACCCACAACTCTTCAGTCTGTGAGCCAGCACTCTAACCACTGAGCAAACTAGCCATGGCTCTCTGAGTTTTTATATACAGTGTTTTCCCTCTAGATTTTGGTAGCTTATTCTTGTGGCTAAACTGCATACCCCAAAACTTCTCAGGTGCTTTCTGACATGCCAATACCTCCCTCGCCTCGAGACGCCACTGACTACAAAAGGCTGGCTTTCCTGCAGGTGTGGCCTTCAGAAAGCTGGCAGCTCATGTCCACGGTTGACAGAAGGATGGAGGCCTCCTGGACTTGGGGCTCTGTGTGAGAGTAAAGCTCCATCCCCATCCTCGGCCGCTGGGACAGGCCTTTGCCTGGCACGGAAGCACTGGTCCTGCTCTGGAAACTTTTCCGTTAAAACAGTTTGTACTCTCGAGTGCTCCATTGTCACTTCAGAGAGAGAGATTGTTTTGGGGGAGTTTTTAGTGACTAGAGTAATCAGTGCTGCCTGATTTTTAAAACAGAGCCAGAGTGCGTGAAAAAATGCCTTGATTTATCAGGCTAGTGATTTATATCATGAGTCAAGAAGGCTTGACTTAATAATCCATTATTTTAAAATCTAAACAGATTAAACCAATAATATATGTTCATTGTGAAAAATTCATATACTACATACCTTGAGTAGAGGAAAGCGCATCAGCAAAGGAGTCACAGATTCCTTTTTTTCTCTAGTGAGAAAATATCCATGCCCCTGTAATCCACCACCCAGAGCAACCTGGGGTTATAGTTTAGTCTCTACCCTTTGGGAATTTTTTTTATACATATACATTAATATATTTTTATATGATATATATCTTACAAAAATTGGATCATACTGTATCTGCTATTTTATGACCTGCTTGAGATTGCATTTTTTTTTTTTTTTAAATTACACCTTTATTGAGATTAACCCACAATACTGTATAGTTCACCTATTTAAAGTGTAAAATACACTAGTACTAAGAGGGAAATTCATAGCATTACAGGCTTCCCTCAAGAAATAAGAAAAATCTCAAATACACAATCTAACCTTACACCTAAAAAAACAAAAACAAACTAGAAAAAGAAAAAGCCCCAAGCAAATAGAATAAATGAAATAATAAAGGTCAGAGCAGAGATAAACAAAAGAGTATAAAAAAAAGCAACACAAAAGATCAGTAAAACCAAGAGCTGCTTCTTTAAAACGATAAACAAAATTGACAAACTTTTAACAAACTCATCAAGAAAAAAGGACTCAAATAAACAAAATCAAATGTGAAAGAGAAGTAACAACTAACACTGCAGAAATACAAAGGATTATAAGAAAATATTACCAAAGGCCCGGCCATCATGGCTTAGAGGTTGAGCATCAACCTATGATCCAGGAGATCGAGGTTCGATTCCTGGTCAGGACACATGCCCGGGCTGTGGGCTCAATTCCCAGTAGGGGGCGTGTAAGAGGCAGCCGATCAATGACTCTCTCATCATTGATGTTTTTATCTCTCTCTCCCTCTCCCTTCCTCTCTCTGAAATCAATAAAAGCATATAAAAAAAAATAAAAGAAACAACTATATGCCAACAGATTGCACAATCTGGAAGAAATGGATTAATTCCTAGAAATTTATAATCTTCCAAAACTGAATCAAGAAGAAACAGAAAATCTGAACAGACTGATTAAAACTAACAAAATTGAAGCAGTAATCAAAGATAAATTAAAAATAAATAAATTTTAAAAAATCAATAGAAACATTAAAAAAAAAATTCCAACAAACAAAAGTCCTGAACCCGATGGCTTCACAGGTATATTTTACCAAACATTCAAAGAAGAACTAATACCCATCATTCTCAAACTATTCCAAAAAATTCAGAAGGAGGAAAGACTCCCAAGCTCATTTTACGAGGCCAGCATTATCCTAATTCCAAAACCAGATAAAGACACTACAAAGAAAAACCCCAGAGTCATTAGCAGTCTAGCTTATTTTACTTCATATAATATTTTTTGAGATTCATTCATGTTGTAGCATGTATCAGCACTTTGTTATTTTTAATGGCTGAATTATATTCCATAGTATGGATCAAACTGCATTTCATTGATCATCAGTTGACGGGCATTTGGGTTGTTTTCACTTTTAGGCTATTATGAACAGTACTGCTATGAACATTTGTGTGTAAGTCTGTGTGGACATATACAGTGGTACCTTGGTTTTCGAAAATCTCCGTTGACTAACATTTCGGTTTACAAACACGGTAAACCGGAAAGTCAATGCTCCAGTTTTGGAACACGCCTCAGAAGTCGAACGTGCCACACGGCTTCCGCTGAGGGCAAGATCCTGAGGCTTCGCTGTCGGCTGCTGATCCCTTGGTTTTTGAACATTTCAGAACTCAAATGGTCTTCTGGAATGGATTACATTCGAAAACCGAAGTACCACTGTATTTTCATTTCTTTTGGGTGGATACCTAGGAATGGAATTCCTGGGTCATATGGTAAATTTATGTTTAACTTTTTAAGAAGCTGCCATGTGAAACAATTGTTTTATTTTAGAAGAAATGTAAATTTAAACACCAG